CACATAAAGCGTTTCCAACCAACTACAGACATACATCATCAACAGGTGCCACCTTCGCTGGCTTGATACTGAAGATCAGATGAGGAGGCCAGAAAGAATGAGCAACAAGGAACTTGCTGTGGCTGACGACAAACGAATCAAGAACCTATCACCCAACAAATATGCAGGTGAAGGAAGTCGAGATGGATTGGGCATGCACTGAGAAGGCCGATTGGGGACATCACACGCCAGGCAGGGCCAGGGCGTCGAGTGGAACCCAGATAGGAAAAGGTAAGTTGGGGGTCCGATGGTCACATGGAGGAGATCATGTGAGGAAGAAATGAAACCTTGTGGACAGTCGTGGAGCCAGCTTTTGAAGACTTCAGAGAAGAGAGTGAAATGGAGATGTGCTACTGAAGCCCTATATTCCACTAGTAACCCAAGGGAAAAATAATAATAATAATAATAATACCATTCAATTGATTATACAACTCTTTAATTCATCTTAAATAGTTACCTAATTTTCATTTGCTTGATTTTGATGACAGCACAATTTTCTATTTCTTAACGATTAAAACATAATTAATACACTCATCGACAGTTGGTAGTACTCCTCGACATTATGAAGAAAACTCAGATACTTTAAAAGTAATTTTAAGAAACGCTTAGAGGTAAGATAGAAGATAAGACAGAGTTGAAATATTTATATTTTACTTAGAGCATAGAAGTACAACAAAAGTATGCTAACATAAATTCTCTGAGAAAGTGTATATTCCATTAAGGATGCAGATACTGCTTTGTGATGAGTGCTGAGAAGCGTCATATTAACATTAAAGTGGACTTCCATCTGATTGATACCGAATATGTGGCACAAAACTGAGAATAGTACAATGTTGTATTGTGTGTTTACTGGTATCGTATCATATTTGTTCAGTAAACTTCAACCACAATTAGGTATGAAGTGTTTTATTGGTTATTATCAGTAGTTGATTGATGAATGTAGGAGATTGTCTTTATTAAAGAGTAAGCAAACGTAACTGTTTTTCATCAGTCTCTAGTAACCTGCTTTAGGATTGGATGAAGTATGCTGATTACTGAATGCAAAATAACTAATTTTATTTCTAGATTTGACAACATGATAGTGGTCACTTTGTTATGGCTAATCCATATATTTTACTATTTCATACAAGAAGTTAGTTTTGATTTTAATATCTCAGTAGAAGTGTCTCTAGGTTCAACTTTAGGCTAGAATTTCTGAGAAAGCATCAGTCCCCTTGAGTTTGTAGATACACCTTGTTGATAGCTGTCGAATTATGCAGGATCTAGATCAGAGAGTTTCCAACCTCTCGCCCCTAAAATAAGCAACAATATGGATTCACCAGTACTGTACCTCAAATGTAGGCAAATTTATCAGTCATGGGGTCATAATGTTTAGAAATTCCACGCTTTCCGAACATATTGATAGATAAGTGAAAAACATTTCTTGAGATCTCTCAGTAGAATAATAAATGAATGTAGTAGACGATTCGTTCCTGAAATAAACCTTCTGACAGCATTGTATGAACTGTTGGACTCAAAGTCGCTGGTCATGAAATCTACCAATCGAGCTGTAAGATCCGATTACTAACCATCCTTCAGCCAGTTGTTACACTTAGCTTGCATGTAAACGAGATATTGTATATAGGTGTTTGGAAATAAAAGTGACCATTATTACTGAACATGTACTCACAAAGCAGCACTAAATATTGAGGGGGTTGTGGAGATTTGGAAATATTTCAAGTTGTTATTCATCGAAGACTGACATCAGTTGGAGGAACAAAGGAAACCTAGCAGCACTGGACAGCTGTTTCGTCCGACCAGTATGGGACTCCTCAGCAGTGCGCACCCACGACCCCGCCCCCCAGCGATCGAACCCGCGACACTCAGGTTCCGCGACCAGCGCGTTACCATTGAGCTAGCCACTGGGTCACAATCCAATGCTCCATATTTCCAACTTCTGTTAGCTCACGATATAGAGCAAACCGCTACCCAATGTCATCGTTGAGTATTTGTCCTCACGGCCATCAGGCTTGACTCCGCCGGTCACGACTTGTCATTGGAACTTCGGGAATACTTCTCGAAGCTAGTCACCAACGAGCACTAGTTCAATTAAATTTTGAGGGGGTTGTGGAGATTTGAAAATATTTCAAGTTGTTATATATGGCTATTCATAAATATGGCTATTCATAACAAGATGTATCTGGTAGTCTAGTTCTTAAACAAATGATTTCCAGTAATTTAGTGGGTGTTATTGCCAAAATTATGCCATGTCTACAAGCAATTTCATTGCATTTTGTGGCCTTCTCGCAAAAACTGAATACATACTAATTATTTGAATTCTTGGGTATGTTCAATGGGTAAATATGTCTTCTCTACACTAAAACTTTTTAAGCAAGTATTTAAAAATGTCCTTCGATGACCTGACCTGATGGTGCATGACAAAGAATAATGGCCAAATAAAGTCTATGATAGTGAAATTGTTTACTCAGAGTTTAAGCATATGATCTAGTGCAACTGCATGTCAAAACTCGTTATACAGTTTATATACTGTTCACAAATCGATAAGTTCACCTTGAAAATTCTCAAAATTTAATCACGAATGATTAGTTATGAAGTGAAATGAATTTCATTTAGAAATCATCCACTGTAGACCAGATGAAATATGTCATTGGTGACTCATTTCAAGAAGTGATTACTGAAGTTCTAATGAGAAGTTGTGACCAGTGGGGCTAACCAAGTCGGATATGAGGACAGATACTCAACGATGGCATTGGATGGAGGTTGCGCCATATAGTTAACTGACAAAAATAGGAAATATAGATCACTGGATTTCGACCCAGTGGCTCAGTGTTAACCGGAAGGTCCTGAGTTCAATCGCTGACGAAGTGGGGGTGAAGTGTTCTCACTGCTGGCGAGTTCCTTACTAGGACGAAACATCTCTCCAGTGTTCCCATTTTCCAAGTGGTTCGAGAACTGGTGTCAGTCCGTGATGAATATGTACTTAGGTTTTATCAAATGTTTTTTATGAATTAATAGCTGGCATATACACAAGTAATATAAAGTCTGTGATGTCTTTCAACTTTTAATTTACAGCATCTTGTGAAGCATTTTAGAAAATTGAAGTGAAATACTCTCCAACGTTTTACTGCAGTATAGTCTACAGGGGAGTATGTAAATAAATCTTTCATAAAATCTACCGGTGATAACCGCTAAAGTCAAATTTGTGCTAATTCGAGAAAACAAGAAGTTAAGAGAAGGTTTTTTCTCTAACGTCCTGACGGATATTTTCAACAGTTATGATGATTCGATATATTTTTACTAGTGACTAGTTCATCAATGAAGTTAAGTAAAGACTTCAAAGCTTAAATTGATGATAGGTTTATGCTAAACTGATGATTCTGATATTGAAGTAGTCCGATGGTTACTCATCAATTCGAGTATACATGACAAACTGTATGCATTGGGAAGTCTGGAAAAGAGTTGTTCACTTTCTCCAATGAAACATACTTTCATTAAACTATTGGAAAGTATTCAAATATCAGTTACATAGTTTTCAGTGAGCATGATATTAACAAACCTGTCAAACATACTCTCGAACTTCCCTGAGGATTTCAGGAGCCATTAAAATTAGGTTGAAATGTCAAATATCTACTAGCCACCAAGAGCAGTCAACTGGCGAAGGTTCAGTCAACGAACTTTTAAAACTTGCCAATATCACCATTCTCCACTTTAACTTTCCTAGATATGACTACAGTCTATTAATGTTAAGTCATGCATATCTTTCATCTAATTTCTACTTTAATGTGTGTATTTCTAACTTTTGTAATCAGTTATTCTTTTTAATAATCTCAGACACCACAGTGGATTTCTGTAAACCTCTGTTTGAATTTGGCTGACTACATCACATTACAATTTAAAGCCTTAGTCAACTCTATCAATGAGCTAATGAGTTAATCAGGCCTCAAGTTAACAATATTTGCGTTTCATACAGCATATCTCTAACATTTTGCGGGCAACCGAACAAAAATTCATGATATTCTATAATTGTGGCTGTTTTACTCTTTTTAGATGAAATTATAGAGATTCAGAGATTTAGATCGACCTTTGTAGTCTGTTCAAAATAATCAGAACAAACACACAACAAATGTGGTCATATGGTAAAAGAATATTTGACACAAATGTTGACGAAATCACTTATCTAGTGTATTAATTGTACCTATTTATGAACAGAATACCTCTAACACTCGATTTGTAAGCATGAATCAGTCAGTGTTTTCAAAACTAACTTGTTATTCGAATTTCGTGAGCTAACAGAAGTTGGAAATATGGACCATTGGATTCTGACCCAGTAGCTCAATGGTAACGCGTTGGCCGCGGAACCTGAAGGCCACGGGTTCGATCCCTGGCGGGGTCGTAGGTGCGCACTGCTGAGAAGTCCCATACTGGTCGGACGAAACAGCTGTCCAGTGCTCCCAGGTTTCCTTTGTTCCTTCAACTGATGTCAGTCTACGATGAATAACAACTTGAGGTAATTTGTTATTCGTCAATTTTATATGCTTTATTCATAAAAGTGCTTTAAGTGATAGTTACACACTATATATCGCATATATCACCACAGCTAAGTTAATTCACACTAAAAATATTATTTGGTGAATTCCCCTGTATAGTTATAAATTCACAAACGGTAAATTCAGCTCACAATCACAATCGGTTCACAATATTTCCATTCACCATAGCAAAAACAACAAACATTTCCACTTTGATTTATTGACTTGACCCAGATAGATGGTCAGTGTTAAACATGTTGCTTATTTGGTCAATAAAGGTCATGGCTATTTTTAGCCAATCAAAAGCCGCTTTGTTTAGTGAAAAAGATAAGGTCAGATCTTCCCGAGTTTTGATTGGTGTTTAGGTTGTTTGTACTATTGGTTGAGAACTGCTTTTGTTCATGCTGAAAATATTCAGTCATTTTGAAATTAACTGTTTACCCATATGGTGGATTAACTTTGTCGCCGTTTTAACACTTACTGTGCTGCTTCATGTGAGTATAATATGTTCTGCCTATTAAATTTATTCATGTCTTCATGTAAAATTATTATTATATGTCAGTAAGTAAAGTGATTTGAATAGTAAAATTATATTGAATATATATTAAATCATGATAGATTGTTCACCAAAGGAAATTCTTTTCAACGAATTTATTTTCAAAAGTTGTACAATAGTATATATGATAGATTTATAATCATTGTTTGTTTTTGATATGTAATGATAATGAGTTGTGTTTCTGGTGCTTGTTGGATTATTACGAAATGTTAACTGGTGTGAAAATTCATTTTTATCATTAATATTGATTAATGTTTGAGCAGAAATACGTAATCGGTTCCTTCGGTGATGATGTTGTGGTCTTTCACTGGATGACTAAATTCTTGTATAAATAAGATATTAATGAAGTCACAATTAATCTGTTATTCATCTGATATCTGTGTAGCTCACTATTTTCGTGTATTGAACTAGAACAGAAATTCATCCTGTTTGTGTATAATACTACCCAGCTTGCAAAATCTCGAAACTCTTGACAAAATAGTTACATGGCATTTAGGAGTGCCTTCCTCGAAGGACCCAAACATTTTTTCAAATAATGTCGTATGGAATTTAAAGATGATGTAGCATCAGACATCCTGAAAAATGATCTTTTAAAGTCAAATAGCAGAACCTTTTCAGTAGCTAAAATTCACTTGACCTTTAGTGGTCATAAATTGTTCTCCGTTTGTGTAAAAGGCAATATCCTTCGACAGGCCACCTCCAAGTGTACCTATCAATTCACCTGCTACCGTGGAGCAAGGTACATCGGCCGTAGTTAGAGACAGCTGTCAACACGCATACCAGAATATATAAGAGTGAAAGGAAATGCATCAGAAGTTCAATCCTTGAACATTCAATCGATACGAACCATTCAACCGACCCAAACAATAAATTTAGGGTTGCCTATCAAATTAGCTCAAACACTTCACGTTTCCTCCGTCTTCAACTTCTAAAAACAGCAGAGGCCTTGGCTGTACATGAACTGAAGCCTGACCTTTGTGTGCGAAAGAAGTACGTACAGTCTTTGCCTTTACCTTGACCTTAACTTAATTTGGTTTTGGTTTCCTTCGTTCCTTTTTGTCTCTTCAACTTCCCCCTTTGTTAGATTAATTTTTATACCCTTAAATATCTTTAAGTTTTTGAAAAAGGACTATCTTATTATTGCCTTCGTTATGCCTATATGGTTTTAATGGAATGCATTTTCATACTGAAATGAGTCTGATAATAAAACGTATCATGTAAAATAACCGGAAACTTCAAGAACTGTCCGAAGATTAATAAATGCGTGTAAAGCTTATATTGAGAAGTGCCGATAGTTTCTTAAACGAACACCGTTCTAACTTCCTGAGATAGTGAGTGCTTAAGCATGTGACTCTGCGTCTATAAGTTGCATTGTAATTATAATCAAAATTCAGCATCCTTTCAAGGAGTTGGTGTGCGTGTCATCATTTCAGCTTCAATAGATATAATTTTTATATTTATTTGAGAGACAGTTAGTTCATTTGAACAGATTTTATTTGTAATGTATTCACTTGGTTGTGACTACCAGTAGAATTCAGGACACATGTTTCATCTTGTCTAGGGTTCATCAACCGGATATACCTGCACCCCAATGAGCGATGGTATCCCTCTGAAACTGGAACTCAGAAACATTGTGCACATTTGTAAAGTTGACAATGAATCACACTTGTTGTGTGAGGTTTATTGATACTACTTGGCTACCCAAACCTCGAAAGGTGGAGTGGTGTTCGATCCCGTGACCCACTAGCTACAAGTCAGCTCCTAAAACCAATGAACCACGACTCCATATTAGGAATCTGCTTTAAACGCTATAGTATTTCACCATATATTCTCTAGTTTGTATGCCAGTGGATGTTCCTAGCATACCAGGGAAATGTCAATGGATTATATACAAGATGCCTACAAAATATTATAAATAGTTCTTTATCAGAAAGTCACTTGATTCCTCAACTAGCGATTATTATCCCCAGCTGAAAATGTATCTAAGACAGCGGGGATTTGTTCCATAGAGCCTACGACCTACTTGAAAAGACAATAACTGTATGAAAAAGCATGATTAATTCTAAATGCAAGTAATAAATGTTGATTCATTCGGAGGTGTTAAGGAAACATGATGCTAGCCCAAATTTGAGAATTCCTATTCTCTTTCTTCAAAATGGAGGGCTCCTGTCTGACGCCTTTTCTTTGTTAGCTTGGAAGGAATTTACTGGTTTAATAAAACAAATAATTCCAAAACTGAATATTAAACACATTAGTTAGATAAAGACAATCGACAGGAAGCCTTGGACGTAGATTTCGTTCTCTTTAGCACTCACCAGCAAGTCGTATCTGCAACATCGACGGAACTGATGTCCTCCCGGAGATTCGAACCCGCATCACTCTGTGTAGCAGTCGGAGACGTTACCACTGAGTTATTCGGGTCACGATTTTGCGATATATATTTGTTTGCTATTCGTAATCAGGTTTGAACATATGACCTTATTATTGGTAATCCATTCCCAGTATAATCGTACTGTACATTTATTTTGACACTATCACCACTTTAGATAGTATTGCAAAACGGATTTGAAATCGTTTAAGTTCCAGTGTCTATTAAAATACTGATTTATGTCGTTTGCCTTGAAAATGTAACCATTTTAATGTCCAGAAGAATAGCATGTATGATCAGTAGTTCTAATCGGCTTTTTTCATACAGTCATATGATTTCTCAGGTCTTTCTGTACAATACATTTGACCTGCGATTTAATGTTTATGCTGAACTATATATACACAGGTGATTTAATATGAATCAATTAGTTAACTAGAACCTTACCGGTAAATGTAGTCAATGGCTGCATGTAACCTTGATAATCAAATTTATATTGTGGACCCTAAACTTTTTAATTCTACTTCTCTGACTACCATGAATTTAGGTAGATGGACAAAATTTACAGGAATCTTTTCATCCGAGTTCCATGTTCCTTTGCACTTATCTTCAGAGTGAATCTTCAGAAGTGAGTAGCCACATTGTATTTCATCTATCAGTGAAGATCATTTAACGTAGTGGATTGAATAGAAGATCAGTTGCTATTCATTAATCTTTTATTCTCTTTAATCCAATTCTGCCACAATGATCTACATCTCCAACAACCCAAAACTTCTGACTGATACACTAAGTAACGTTTATCCCAATACCTATGACAGCACCACATTTTTTTTATCCGAAGGATATTTTTTGTTGATTAATGTCAGCAGTTATAGGATTTGGTGGTGACCTCTAACCATTTAATATATAGCCATGTTGTATTTATATCTATTTGGTATCAGCGTAAAGATATGCTGATACTTATCAAAGTTCAGTTAACAACATTTCACCTGACATTTTAAGTGTTCGTACCGTCTGCACCCAATACTAATTTCAAGTACAGATTATCGACGACGTTATGTTAATTTATTGGAATGATGCTTATAATTTCCCGTTGCTATATAGAGCCAAATTGGTCGACTCAGTTGGTAGATGGGCTCCTATGCGGATGCCTCGATACTGCCGGATATTCATGATGTTGTATTGATCTTGGTGACGAGTAGTAGTGACTAACAGCGGTGGATCAATTCGGCTCTGTATAGCAACGGGAAATTACAAGTATCATTACAACAACTGATACTCGTTACACGAGAGCTGGCTATCGTGTCCCAGTGGCTTAATGGATAACGCTGTAGCGTTCGACGTGATAGGTAGTGTATTCGAGCCTGAGTGTAAACAATATCACTCAGTGGGTTACAGGTACATCCAGCTGACGAGTCCGGAATAGGAAGATACAAGCGTCCTTGATTCCTTTGCTAGCCACCAAGGTTAGTATATCATATCAGTTTAATTCCAGGAGGAACTAATATTCTGTTAATCTTAAACATTTTCGTTTACTGTACTGACGGGATCTGTAGTTCAGTGGCCATTGTATTACGCTACTCCCTATTTATGTGCAAATTTGTATACTCGCGTATCAACTACTTTCACTTTTTTTAGTAATAATGCCATGTTTACATGAATGTCTTAATCAATGAACCACAGTTTAACACTAGGCGATAAATTCAAAACATCTCAATCCATCGAGTTTGCGGAAGGAGTCGATTGATATCAAAGCATACATCTTTGTCTAGTTCAGTCCAGACAATGTGTTAAACTGTCAGTCATAACAATAGTCATTTTAGATCACAGTTACACAAACAAACCTCTACAGCTTACATTTTGTGTTTACTTTTACAGTTTTATTTTGAAATACTATATTCTTTGTAGCGAGAAACACTGGATCTAACTAAGCCTCACTTGTTGATTTATTTGTTTACAATTTTACTGTAAAATACAAAACAATTTTATTGTTATTCATTCACATCATAGTCCAATATATCGTTTGTCTATTGTGATTTTATTGCATTGGGTCACATTGTTGTTGATAGTCTATATTCCTGAATAAAAGCAAACAACTTGTCCTCTTTAATTGACTTTTGACCACTTTAATTTCCTGCTAACTAGGTATATAGGCGATTAGATAACAAGTGGAGAAAGCAAAATTTCTGTAGGCAAAAATTTAGTCAATTAATTATAAATTAGTAATCTAATAACTGTAATCAAAAACTTCCTCACTAAAATTCGAACTTTGAAGTTTAGAAAATGTTTCTATGCCGTATGAGTCAACACTTCGTTAGGTGATTAACTTTCCTAATGATAACGATTGGTTTTGTCTATAAAGTTCATGTAGCTGAATATTATTTAAGGGTTTATATACTACTTATTTTAACCCATATGTTTTTTATGTCGAGTAAATCACTGATTTGATCACTTTTAAAAGTTTGATGGTATTTTACTACAAGTTATATGACATATACCGCCATTAAAGTGTTCATTTGCACATCAGGGTTAGGCAACTTTCTATATTTCCTGGATGATGTGATTAAAAAATT